CGCTCGAAAGCATCTCATTCGATCAGCGCCGTGGATTCGACGAGGACGGATCAGTGGAGATCAGCAAGGCAGAGCTGAGCGCGAGGTGAGTGCAGCGAAAATGCCAGAATACAATTCATCGCCAGAATCAGTGGTGAACAAAGAAGGATAACCTCAGTGTGATATTGATTGAAATAAGTATATGTATATAGTCTTGTGAGCTTCAAAAATTTTTATTCAGTCCTAATAGCTAGCTTTGGTTCTTAATCTATCGTTCACTTTCGTTTAGCAAACTTGGAACCTTGATCATCACCAAATGTTGATAATATTGAAATTTTGCTACTTCTTGGTATTTTTCTTAACTTAATTTCTATCTTTATAACTGCATTTGTTTTAAAAAATGTTCACTTTAATTATTTTGAAATCGCTCGGCTTTGCCGAGTATCTGTAATCATAGATGGAAACAAATGGAAAACAGGTGAGGTTATTAGAAAAAGCTTAGTGAAGGATATAAGAAAGCAGTCCGATTGGTGCACCGAGCCACAAGAATCGCGTGTCCACTAGTACAGCAGAAATGCCGGAATACGATCCAACGCGAGAATCAAGGCGATAGAAAAAAGATTGACCTCCGACCTGTTGCACCTCTCATATAATCAATTTATGAGTGAATTAGTGCGCATACCATATTTGGACGAAGTGCTATAATAGCACATAGTGCATCCATCACACAGCATGGTACAATCATAAAATTTATTGCGATGACAATTTTACAACATAACATAGATTAACATCGGTCATTGTGCAGAATTGAGTATTATATTATATTCACAAGGGAAGACATTTTATATGGCACAGACTAGATAATTTTATACTGACTTACTTATATCAAAAATCAATAAAAGGATTTCTCAGCGTGTCACGCGATAGTTGAATTATGTTGAAGACAATCCATAAGTTTTTTATGCTGTAATTTTTTAGAATTATCAAGAATCACTCGAAAACAATTGCTTAATAGATTAAATAATATTTGCGAAGCTGGTTATTTTTTTAATTTTTGCAGTGATATGCTAATTTGACTGAATATTTTGTTCACAGCAAACATTAGAGATTAACTATCGCATTCTGAAAAGTACAACGGAAGAAAAAGTCTTCGCAAAAATCGAATTCAAATGAAAAGGTAAAGAAAAATGGTCATAGTTAAAAGTTTCAAGCAGAACACAACATAATACAATACATTACAAGTTATGAATGTATAACAGTTATTGACAGATATTGACAATATTTCTCTTTGAGATAAAGCTTTGTTTAAGATAAGTTCAGTCGTATACGTAACAGTAAGCTCTGAAAATAACTGATAAAGTCATGAACTGATTAAAAATATTTCAAACTTTCAATTAATGAAAGGAAAAATTTTCCTGATGCACACCAAAAACCGACACCTCATTTGTTCATAAAAGTTTTTGATTAATTTAATTTGTTGTGAATAGATAAAATATTTCTGTGTCACAATATATTTTAAAAAACTATTAGTATTTTGGAGTTTTAATATCTTTATATTATATTTATTTAATCCCTTTAATGTATTCTTTTAGCACTAGTATGCAAGATAATAAACTTTCTTGAACTTTTATGTTAATAAGTAGAAAAAAAGAGTTAAACTTGCTGTCAATTTAGCTTTTTCTATCATTCCTTCAATAATATACTTCATGAATCATCGTAACAAAATTTCATTAAAGATAATTTCTGGGGAATAACCTACTCATTTTAGCTCGGCAATTTCAAAATGTCAATAACTTTTTCATATCCATAATTGATGCTTGGTAAGAGTTTGAAAACAAAACAATGTCATCCATATCATCAAATATGCTGATGGGTGATTAAGAATTAATAAATTTATAAAATATTGACCAATTTACATTAGTGAAACTTCAAATGTCCATGTCCATCACAATCAATAAAGAATCCTTTAACCATATAGTTTTGTTTGAAAGTTATTTTTACCAAAATTTTTCAAAAAGTACATTAATACAATTTATTTTTAATTTATTTCAATAGCGATTTCAACAAATTAACGACGATAAAATAGTGTTAAATCGAAATGCGACTGATTACTTATTCAAGCATGCAAAATGCTTAATTGTCGTTTTGGCAAGCTTAAAAAATCAGCTAGCATACACAGTAAAGCAGTTATGATGTGTTAATAGAAT